TGTGTGTGTGTGCAGGTGGAGGGACAGTATGTACCATGCGTTGGGGTACAGCAGCATCCTGGTGATGCAGGCGGCCATGACGTTTGAGCACAGAGACATCCAGACCGCCATGGCAACCATCAAGGAGGCGTTACACACCTGTCAGAGGTGAGAAACTGGAATCATTCAGGTTAAAAGAGTTTAAAACTGAATTTCTTAATAGACGTTAAACTAAATCTTCTGTTGTCCAGGTTCAGGAAGAAGAACTCGGTGGTTGGATCTTTGTCCAGTCTGATCAACAAACAGTCCAACCTGCAGGAAGGTACGCAAGCACATGTCCCGCCCCCATGGTTTGATTGACAGCTGCGGTCTGCAGGAAAGAGCAGCAGGTAGTCACTGTGTTGTGTTTGTGCGTTTGCAGAGGAGATGCACGCCGAGATCTGCTACGCCGAGTGTCTCCTGCAGAAAGCCACGCTGACGTTTGTCCAGGTGTGAAGTCACGCTTCTGTTGAAAACTACACAAGGAACTTTGGTGCAGTTCCTCACTAGGTGGCGCTCATGTAAAACACTGACATGATTGAAATGAACAGGAAAACTTATTTTTCGTCTTTTTAAAAAAAATCTAGTTTATTGAATCTATATCAAAGGTAAAATTGACGTGTGTCCGGGATCATATGTCCTGAATTACTAGATGTTTAGCCCAGAGGTTCCCAGACGTTTTGCCTGGGACCATTAAAATATCTGTTTATCTATGTATGTGTTGAGACTCACAGTTTGATGACCTTAATGTAGACATGATTTTTAATGGTTCTAGTGCCACCCAGTGTCCTAAAATATATATTTTTTGTCTCTGTGACAAAAACAATTGGCTTCAAATCCATACTTCAGACATGTCCTCTAAGCTTCTTAATGTTTATCACACCCGTTATTCAGAGCAAATAAAAGTCGTGCAGCTCCTACTACTGCTGTTATTGTTTTTATTTATCCAGAAAAAACTGTGTTTAGTAAAACTATTCACACACATTATTAACTAATATTATATCTATTTTAATGGAACTTAAGACTGATGTGATGTTTAAGCTGAAGATAATTGATTAATTATAATTACTCTTCTCTTTTCCAGGATGAAAACATGATCAGTTTTATCAAAGGAGGCATCAAGATCAGAACAAGCTACCAAATCTACAAGTGAGCGATTGATTCAAAACATAG